ATACTTCAGTGTCTAAACAGGTGGTAGTTTAAATGTCGGTTTCAGAAAAGTTGATGTTCTTTCTTTGTAGCGCACTCTTCGCAACCACAATCGGTACAGCAAACTTTCTGTAGAATCTCCCTACATATATCTATAGTTTGGAATTTGTTGCGATCAACATCGCTTGCATTATCACCACTCATTTCAACTATGATCGGCTCCCAAATTCCTGTGAATGCGGGTTGTGGACTTTTCTTGAGTATGAGGATAAAGTTAATGAGAGAGTACGAAAAACAATGCTGCAACGTGGAGGTTTAACAAGTTTATTCTTATGATCAGGAAAAGCCCGCAACCTGCATTTACACGAATCTATTAAGTCGTTTCATAAGTCCGTAGAATTTTATAAATTAACAAAATGGCAAAAAATCAACAAAATTCAGTCAATACTGTATATTATGAAGTCAATACTGTATTTTATAAATTAACAAAATGGCAAAAAAATCAACAAAATTCAGTCAATTTCCATTGTTGCGCACAACCTTCTGCCACCGCAGCCAGATTTTTAGTTTTGTTTTTCCAGAAGAACTCAGCGGGTCTGGTCCCGAAAAAGTCGTTTAACCAGCGCCTAAGATCGTCTTCGAAATCAAAACAGACGGCGTCCATATGATTTGTGACAAAATGGAGGAGATGATATTATGCTAGGGCGAGACCTCATGAGTACATCGGATACTAATGTATCTCCCGGCCAAGCCTTGCGTGACAGCTATGATGACGGTTGCCGTAGGGCGCCAAGTTTTTTCGGGCAGAAAAGCTCACTGGACATGTTTATTAGGCTTTTTCTGCAATAGATATTTGTGTAGACGGTGCAGTCAGGTTGTGTACGGGTGGGCGGCCGTCTTGTACTTGTATAGCGATTTTTAGTGCAGAACGCCCTGCCCATCCTTCAAAAAGTCTTGTTCAGGAGTCACCTTGTTAACTCCTGCTCTTTCTTAGCAATCCACTTCTTTTTTGTCCCATTTTGATGGAAAGACGCCATTTTCCATAATAGGCAAATATATGTGCAAAACGCTTTTTTCGTAAAAAAAAATGAGCAAGTGCCGAATATGCCTCTTTTTGCATTTTGAGAAATCCTTTTTTGGAAGCTGATAAATTAAAGTAGATCAGCTTTTCATTAAATACTATAAACCTATCTTGAAGAGTATGCACCATGCCGCAAATTAACCGCTCATCAAAAAAAGGAGAACAAGAATGAAAACTCTACGAACTTATGAACTGACCTAATAGAAGCCAATGACAAATTTCTTCCCTTGACGGATTTCTGAGTAAGGTCCATTGGTATCCTATGAGGTGATTTGACAACAGTTGATGCGAATTAGCGCAAGTGTGAAAATGATGGGGGGAGGGGGGAGGGGATCGATGCAGGAACGGTCAGTAGATACGATTGACGCGAATTTTCGCAAAGAGCTGCCGCAGCGACGACGTCAAGAGCACCAAAGTCAGCGTACTCTGTCGTTCCCTCCCGTAATTCTTTCCAGTGTCACTTGCTCATGTATATGCCACCACCAGCCATGCCCTAATCTTCCGCCGTAAAACTTTAGCACCGGAGAATTTAGAAAGGGGCACAAACATCGCGCGCGACGTGCGCGACAATGCGGCCGCCGTGGCGGCGTATTTTCTCGCGTGCAGCCCCTCAAATGTCCATTAGCCCCGCCCATCCTCGTCATTGGCGGACTTTTGAAGCACGGTTTCAGCATTTGAATGAGTTGTTAGTGGGGTTGGGGCCCACAGTCTTCTTAAGCTTTACTACCTAATATTACCAAAATGGACAGAAGTCTTCTTGCCGAGCCGCTGCCTTAAAAGGCAGTGTCCTGGCAGATTCGCGCCATAGGCAGTATAGGTGTGTTAGGGTTCCTGGTCACTCCACTAGCCTTTAGGCCCACTCCGGCTGGTTGATATTCACCTTGCGCGGAGAAAATTGCCCCTGAAACGGCACGCGCTCGGACGGCTTCGCTCAACTGCGTGAAGTCCTACAACAGCTCCCGCATGTGCATGCTATCCGAAGCAAAAATTACAGGCGGCAGGATATTTGTGTCAGGGCCTCCCAATTTTCCATTGGAACTCTCGTCCGAGCCTGTCGGAAATTAGGTATACGCTCCAAAAACGGACTTTTCACCCAGTTCAAAGCTCAAATTTATGTTCTACGTGTCGAAAAGGCCTAAAACATGCAGAAAAGTGGAAATGAAATATTGCCAAGACACTGCCTCTGAGAACCTCAAAGGGTTATTTGAAGGTTCTACTTTTTCCTCCTTTTATATAGGATGCATACATCGAAGGCGCAATATCTTTGTGCACTAACGCGGTTTCATTCGCCAACAGCATGAGGCGCAGGAGTTACGACGGTGAAGATACGCGCTTAGGAATATCTTTTTAAGATCCTAACCCTTAGAGTCGTCGTAACTGAATAAAAAAGGAAGAATCACTTAATGGCACGGTTGAGCAAGAGATGTGGCACACAACCGTAGGATACGACTCTTCTGAGTTCTGTCCCGATATCCCCAATTCCACTCTTGTCTCCTTCTGTATATCATGTCAAATAACCTCTGTGGACCAAGTTATAGCGAATTCTAAGGGTTTCCAATATTGAGACACCAAGAAGTGACCATCTTATATACTCCATGTTCGCCTATGCCATGAATTCTGCATCAAACAACTATGGGACTATGAAATTAGGAGCCAGAAAAGGTCCCGTTTGTCCCATTTTCCGCTCGCAGTGGTTGTGCTTCCAGCAACTATTGCTCAAGAAAAAGTAGACGAATTCAGTTCTAATCACTCCCACAAAAGCTACGAGCATTTGGCTATCGAACAGCACATAGTTTGTTCGCAAAAAATTTCTTTGGAGATGAGTTAATGGGGTGTGGCACAACTTCAGAAAAGCTGTGGCTGCCACACTCTTTTAGGGAATGTGTCACACCTCATTAACTTAACCTTCAAACCATCCAAATAGCTGCGCTTTTTATATCGTTGCTACCGCTTAACCCTCTTCTCTAAGCTATAGACATTTCTTTCAAAATCATTTCTTCCAGAGAATGAAAAGCATTTTTCCGTGGCATGCTAAGTCTGCGCTACTACGTGAATCGCGAAAGAAGGCGACAAGAATATATATACATGGTATCCCAAAAAATGTATCGAACGTTTGATCGTTAATATCTCTCTTCTAAAGAAGTCTTTTTCCTTGCTTAGGTACCAATCTGTAGAGCTGGCTTCAACTTAGATTTGCATTATAGAACGAATCACTCATCTCTCTTCATTACTGTAGGATTAGGTAGAAACTTCAAAGAGGGGTTTAAGCAATGAAAGGCCATATTTTGCCCCAGAAAGGAAACGAAACAGCTTCAAAACTTTTGCACTAGGCTAACTAGAGTTGCTGATTATAACTGTAAAGTTCCCAATTTATTATGATGCTTCATTGAAGAGTTATGCCAGGTAAGAGGTAGCAGCCATTTTTTCAATGTTCCTAAAAAGTGCGGTTACACCGTTTTTAAAACTTCTTAATCTTGTAAATAGTTGAGTATTGAACTCAGCGTCCATAAAAACCCCAATACACAAGTTTTACATTTTTTTGAAAAATTTTGAAACGGCAATTTTTTCCACATTGACACCATATGTTCCAAGTTGCTACCGCAATCCTACAGTAATGAAGAGAGATAAATGATTCGTTCTATAATGCAAATCTAAGTTGAAGCCAGCTCTACAAAACGGTACCTAAAGCAAGGCAAAAGACTTGTTGGGAAGAGAGATATTAACGATCAAACGTTCGATACATTTTTTTGGGACACCCTGTATTTGATATCCTAAACCTTCTAATTTACACAATAGTGATTTGAGCCCGTGGCTTTCTTTAATCTGAAATATTGAGAGCGAAAATTGAAACAAACGATTTGATTTTGCTTGGCTTGATTCCTTAATATGAAGGTTATTTAGAGTGAGATTCGTGATGTGAGCAAAGAAGTAGCAGTTTTTTGCACTAAGTGTAGAAAAAGTACCTAATACAGTCGCCTTTGAAATAAAGGTAACATGTTCGAATATGATCAATATTTGGAGCCCTCAGAATTTGTTACAACTTCGCCTAGAGTGTTATTTGGCATATTAATTACGAAAATAATGCTCTCATGCTTTTAGTGTTCTTTATTATGCTTACTGTACTTATACGATAGTAGGCTAAAACTCGTTGTGCTAATGTTCTGCATGATGGGGTTTTAGGCAAGGGACATACCTCACGCGATTGCAGTCGCCACGCGACCTGGCAATTTGCCAGATGTCTTCAAATTCAATACTGATAGACCCCAAATGCACAGCATGTATGACTTTCGTAGGTTGATAAAATGCCCCATCTTCCGTACATTCAGAAACCCCCTACGATGAGTTATGAACATTTGGAGTATTGCCAAATCGGGCCGCGACTGAAATCGCGTGAGGTATGCCCGAGGCCTTAGGACATTGTTATTAAATATCATGTTATTGCTAGTATCAGAATCAATCACTTCGATAATGACTCCCGCTCCCCCTCTGAACCTCAATACGACTCCCAGGTGTGTCATGTCTACCACACCCCACGCTTGTCGCTACCTAAAAGCACTACCCCCAGATTCTCGACCATGTTTTGGTAATTCCCGGGCCTTCTCATGTTCCTGTTTCTGAATATTAAAAAGGGAGTCCGATGAAAATTCCGACAATCCTCGTACCGGAGAACCTGCAGGCCGATTCTCCGCAATGCGATTGGATGGGCGCGCACGGACGGCCGAAAATTACTGGAGAGGCTGGGGCGGTACCGACTTGGGGTCCTCATGCCTCTTCGCTATTCCGAAGCGACATTTTGCGCCGTGAATTGGGCGTTGGCTTTATAGGGGACCCTGCTTTCGTAGAGTGCCAAAAACTCAAGACCCCCAACTAAGGTTGGATGGGCTTCAAGCATTTCAGTCAACCTTTGGAATAAATGGTTTTGTGTTAATATCTCTTTATAGAGCTACGAGGCGTATGTGAAGTACTACACTGTGGATTGTCTATCAAAGATGCTTTTTCGTAGTAAATCGAGATTTCTGGTTATTGTGACGATATTCACGATATTTACCGTGTTGCTCATGATTACCCTGCAATTTTCGAGCAGCAAAGGTAGGACAGTTTCTAGTTACAAACAACCTTGATCAACAAGGTGAATATTTTACTGAAATATCAAATAGGTGACAGAATGAAAATACATTTGTCATTTTTTCTGAATGTTATCTTCGTACCATGTCCTCTCATCTCTTTACTAGTATGAAAACAGCGATTTTGTCACCAAATTCATCAAAGTTAGGCTATTTTTATGAACACATCGACAAGATAAGTTTCTCCTTACAGCTTTTCTTGATTTTTTGGTTCTAGAGTGGTAATGAAAAAGGCAAAAGAATGAATGATATTATCAGAGAATTTCCTTTTTGTAGTAAATCATATCCGTTTGAAATAATTAATGCCCCGAATCTACATGTAGACTAAGGGCCACTATTTTACCATACTTCCTGAAGTTCAAAATAGTTGAAATATGTAGCAATGAAAAGTCTCGGTGGCGAGTTGCACTGCGACCCGGAAGTCATGAAACCGTCACCAGAAATTCCGAAAAACGTGAACAAACTTCGCCCGGCCGATATCAAAGTCATTGCGGCGATGGGTGACTCAATAACGGTAAGGATTTCGCTGAAGAAGGAACTTTGTAATTGAAAAAATGTATATGTCGTAACTTAAGATGTTCAGATTGCCTTGCGATCGAAAAATTTTGAGGGTCAGAGCTCGGCGAAAGTTTATCCAGGAAATTCCTACATTATCGGTGGTGATGGTACACTCAGGGACCAGATTACAGTAGGAAGTGAGAAAGTTTCTACCTACTATCAAATAGCTTTTCGATATTTATGACTAGTAGAGGTTTTACGGGAATTCAATCAAAACCTCGTGGGACTATCACATGGTATCGACTATGGCAACAATTCTGGATTCAATGTGGCCGTTGGTGGAATGACTAGTAAAGATCTGCCAAGGCAAGCAGCCGTACTCATCAAGAGGATGGAACAGGCGGGGGTTAGGAAAAGTTTTCTTACCTTCCAGGTATTCACATAGTTGTTAAACAAGCTCGTGCCCTAAGAATTTACAACACAACTTCACACAAGCTACTTGTATCAGAGCGCATAAGTTTTGCAACACACTCATTTTTTTATAAAAACTGCTTGAAACTTTAGCAAAGTCTAGTGTTTGGTACATGTGAGAAATCAACAAAAACCATTTTCGCATAATTTTCCCTTTCACACATACATTTTTTAATATGAGGGCAAATTTTGCTACGGCAATTCTACACCCGTTCCATTCTTTTTCAAAAATCCTCTCAATTTTATTCTTACGTTCTTAGGTCTATTATGGGTTTACGGGGACATTAGCACCAGTATAAGGGAGTTTGATATTCCACAAATTTTGAAAATTATATTTTTTGTGTGTGATGTAAATATCAAAAAGCTACAACCTTATGCATGATCTGGAGATGACGAAAAAGTTTTGAGAAGTTATGGAAATTTCTTATTCATTTGTATCAAAAGTTGTGCTGTTGATGTTCTTCAAGTGTTCTGAGCCACACAGGTTCCAGGTGGTCTTTATTTATCCAGTCACGACCTAATTTTTTAACGCTTTCGTCGTCCTTAGAAGCCCGAAAGTGGCTCAAACGTCATCCGTGACTCCAAGCCACCAAACACCTCCCCTAGTCCGGTTAGTTCTCAACCTTCACTCAGCTACTATGAAAATGTCAGGACCGAAGATGACCGCACGATTACCGCTATATATGACCTTCAGCACAGGAAATGATGATCGTGGCGGAAGAATATACTATACCAGAAAAGACAATAGAATGTGATCTACAGACCGCAAAATGACATGAACGGAAGGAGGTCAGGGGTTATTCTTTGCAGAAAAACAGAAAGCTTTTAATGTTTTAGCGGTGGTCTCCTTTCTACAAGCCAAGATTTTATATTTAATATCAAAGTCTTTTCCATTGTGCGCGTTTTATACTTACCTAAATCTGAGGACAGTGTTTTACGTTTTTATCTGCTAGATGATCTCTAGTACAAGTACTGTGCTCTTCCAGTCTCCCAACATCAAGCGCGATGCAACTAAGACATCTTAGTTGATTAACTACTCTCACTTTTGCACAATCACCTAATTCATCATGCGGGCGACTACACAATGTTCCGTTACACAGTATCGGTCGTATAGTCTGTTTCAAACTAATTGTTATTTGGTATCTTCATTCGGAATGTCCACTAATACAATATCATTATGCAATTTGCACATAAAATGCACTTTCGAAGCCGCGTTGATACTATCCGAAATAAATGAAAGGTCGAGTGGGAGTTAAAGACCAACTAAAACCTATGTAGCTCAGAACATTTGAAGAATATATACGATGCCCAGGTTCAAAGAAAGCAAAATGTAGAAGCTATTGATGTGATTGTAACAAAGCTTATACACTTATATCAGCGCGAAATTTCCATTTTTATAGGAGTAGGAATATAAGCAAACATGTTTTGAAAATTATGACTTTTATGCTTTAAACCTTACTGTACCTCTTTTACATAGGAGCACCTAGCGTTGGGAATCCCAAACAAGTGTCTCTAATTATTTGTAACATACCTACAAAATCTTTAAAAAGCTATCTGTCCTCTAACACTTCAAATTTGAAACTCGCGCTTCTTCGTCGGGAAGACTATACTATAAAAGAAAGCACTTTGTTGTCGTTTGCTTCACTTTTTTTGAAGAAAAAGACTGATTTCGCCTTCTCATACCAAGGGTTGCACAGAGAGTCTAGCAAACCGTTTGAAGAACCCAAGAGAGAGCTAGTTGGTTAAGGGAAGGTGAGCTCAACAATGTGCACCGAGACATTGCTTCTCCACTCAGCACAATCAAAAACTAGTTCTAAGATCTAAAAGTAATTTCTTATCTGCATCCATGGTCATTAGCACCTGAAGTTGTTTTTCTTTCAACTTGGAAAAAAGTTATTCTTTGTTGTTTCAATAGTCTCCAGGCGAAACGAACACAGGAAAACAAAAAACGTTTCTCTTGGATCCAAAATTTTCGAGAAGAGAAGCTTCTCGGAAATTTACGGTATTTCGTTGATAGTTGCAATTAGGTTGCTTTCCTTTGACGGGTTGTGAATTAACTGGGAACGTTTCTGATTTTAGATTGTAGCGTTTGCACTTTCAATGAGAAAGTTCTAAAGTCATGATGAAAAAAGAAAGCTAGAAAACAGCTTTTTCTGTTAGGGTTCTTTGTGCCTAACAAGGTGATTTTTAAGGCACCCAAACTGGAGTTGATGAGATCATGATACCTAGCAGATGCGGGGGCCCCCAACTGTATGAACTGCCCAACTCGCGCTGCCTGCTTCCGAACCGAGAAAATTGCTTGGGAAATCGCTTCAGGCCGCGTTCGCGACGCTGGCTCCTTCCCTTTTGGAGTGGACGTGACGTTCGTCCCGCCCATCCGTGCGCGCCCAAGCGATCACCGTACCGAAGAAGTCGCTCGGGTTCTGAAAACGGGGTTTTTCGTGGTTTTCGCGGATTTTCAACTTGATATTAGGAATCAGGGGTATGAGAAGGCCCTGGAACGGCAAAAACATGGAGGTCGAAATTTTGGGTGGACGGTGCCTTAGAAAAGCTCAATTCTGAAATGGTACTCGGACTTAGTAATTAAAACTCGAATAGTTCTGGTAAACAAATAGCATGGGATGTTGCAACTTACGGACTGCACTTTGGCTGAAAACAGTGAAATTTCCAGGTAAAGATTTACAATTTTTTGTTATAGGTCAGCCTGAAGGAGGACTGGAAAATTGTGTCGATATTCATTGGGACCAACGACTTAGGAAATCTTAAGTGCAGAAGGAACCAGGATGTGAGCTTTATTACAAACTAGTTGGCAAACCCGGCTCCGCCCGGCCCTGTCAATAACATATTTGTAATCAGCATGTCCGATTACCCCCCAACTCACAGCCCCGTAGCTCAAATTTTGCAAAAAATCGATAAAATCGATATCGATCGATGACGAAAAGTAGCCTATGCAGGGCTCGGCACGAGCTGGCACCAGGGAAATTTCAATACGAAGTCCCCTTTGATATTGAAAATTTCGTACAAAGTCCCTTTTGACCTGTTTTGAAAACCCGTCATCATTTTTATACTATGTAAAAAAGTGTAGCAGTGTTTTCATGCATTTCTGATTTCATGAAAGAACTTTTTACAGCTTTCTGAGTATTTTAAGTGGACGAATCACATCTTGAGAAACAGAAAAAGCCGATTTTTCGATTGCGGAGCAGACCGAGTGGTTTTCAAATTGCTATAAAACGCTGAAAAGAGAGCATTATGAAACTGTTTCTTCTCGGTATGTAATCTTTTACAGTGTAGATGCATTTTATGTAAAAAAGTATGAGAACTTATGTGAGCAAAGTGGCGGTGCCAGCTCAGCTGGCACCCAGCTGGCACGGTGCCAGCTAATTCAGAAAAAAGTTGGGCACAGCTTTCATTCACATAAGTTTTCATAAATTTTTGGCCCGTAGTTCCGGTCCACCAACGCGCATGCACACACCAAGTTTGGTGTCATACTATTGCGTTTTGGCTGAAAACAACGCCTTTGTTTGTTGATGGCCAGCTTGCCAATGGCATGCCGGTGGAATGCCGGCGGCATTTTTGCGGCAGTTCTCCGCCTCGGCCCCTGTAGAAACGATATCCCCTTTGCTTTCCGCGCTAAAAACGATATCCAGCTTGACCCGGTGCCAGCTGCGCTGAGCCCTGAGCCTATGACACCCGCCGGGGCCCGAAGTGTATGTGTGCCAAGTTTGGTCCGGATCGGTTAGAAATGGAATTTTCTATTCGGAACATACGTACAGACATACAGACATACAGACAAACAGACATTCAGCTTTATATTAGGTTGTCCCGAAAGTTTTTTCGGTTTTTTCCATCGCTCACTAAAACCTACAGAACACCTTCAAGGAGGGTCTAAATATCATTTGATTCAGATTTTTATCCTTTTTCTTACAGCTATGTTTGTTCTCTGATTTATTCTGTCTTCGCAATGTTATCGCCATGGCTTTTTGGGCAGCTCAGCAGTAACGCCTAATCTTTTCTGAATTTTAAAAAATTTTCTCCTACTACTTTCAAAAAGCGCTATTAACTGTTGTATAGAGCCATTTTTTCGGCTACATTTCACTTATTTTAGATTACATGAGTCACGTTTATCAAGTCTTAAAATAATTATTTATTTGAAAAAAAACCACGGCTTTTTGATTACGTCTACCACGTAAAATTACCAAAAATTCCAAAAAGCTAATTTTTCAAAGCAAATTATACTGGGGAACGGAACTTACCTACCCGAGATATTCTCGCACCTCATGAGTGTCTATCCGCGGGGTATAATTAGGCATAGCGAGCTCGCTGATTCTAGATGCTCCTTAGGCTGGGTTCATACTGATTCCCATGTTCTGGAACTGTTCCCGCACAGTTCTCGCACTGTGCTGGAACTGTGCGGGAACAGTTCCAGAACTGTGCTGCATGCGCTGCAGCCGCCCCGCACCGTTCTGAACGGCGGGAGCTGGAGAATTTTGACCGTTCTCAACGGTTTTTCTTCCAGATTTCGCTCGTTTGGCCTTATTCCTCCACCCCGCTTCCCTTTTTGATCAGCAGAACTTCGAACTCGAACAGGGATTGAAGAATGAGCGCTTTTCTGCGCCGTGTACTCGGAAAGGTGGGCTATCGTGCGATTGTTCATTCTGTCTTCGTGTTTTTTGCTCAAAACTAGTTCATTTGTTCCAGAAAGCGGCTGCCTAGTTTCCATCGCCATCTGTCACGAATTAGGGAGTAGGAGAAATCCTGAAATTGCATGGGTTGGGACTTGTCTGTTGTTTTTCATGATTTTGGGCGTTCTTAGCCTTGTTCGTTTTTCCATGTCGTTGCTTCTCCGTTCTTTCTTCAACCCCGCTTCAAATTCACAGCTTTTCTCAACACTAGGAGAAGCGGGGTAGAAGAAAGAACGGAAAAGCAACGACATGGAAAAACTAACAAGGCTGGGAACGCCCAAAATCATGAAAAACAACAGACAAGTCCCAATTCATGCAATTTCAGGATTTCTCCTACTCCCTAATACGTGGCAGATGGCTATGGAAACTGGACAGCCGCCTCCTGAAACAAATGAAGTAGTTCTGAGCAAAAAACAAGAAGACAGAATGAACAATCGCACGATAGCCCATCTTTCCGAATACACAGCGCAGAAAAGCGCTCATTCTTCAACCCCGCTTCGAGTTCGCAGTGGTGCTGATCAAAAAGGGAAGCGGGTGGAGGATTAAGGCCAAAATGAGCGAAATCGGAAGAAAAACCGTCGAGAACGGTCAAAATTCTCCAACTTCCGCCGTTCAAAACGGTGCGGGGCGGCTGCAGCGCATGCAGCACAGTTCTGGAACTGTTCCCGCACAGTTCCCGCACAGTTTCAGCACAGTGCGAGAACTGTGCGGGAACAGTTCCAGAACATGGGAATCAGTATGAACGCAGCCTTAGGATACAGCGCTAAGCTAAGCCCCGCCCACACATAGCACCTTTCTGGCATGGAACCAAGACATTTATAAATATATATCAATTATATAGATAAAATATTTGAATCACAAAAACATGTGCAGCGTCCTGTACACATTGATCGTTTGATAGACTAGCTCACCTTTATAGTCTTTTATCATTAAGGTCACATCCTCAGGGCATGCTGTTCTACTAGAAAACTGCTTTTTCACTTTTTCTCTCAGAACAATGTTCCGAGAGAAAAAGTGAAAAAGCAGTTTTACATGCGTCCTAAGGCCATTGCTTTATTTTTTGTCAAGATTTCTTAAGCTAAAAGTCAATTCACCAAAGCAAAGTTTCGGCTCCTGTAAGAAAGCAGCGCAAAACCAATAACATATTTGAAGAGAGCGCCTCAGAAAACCCCTAAATCTATATTTTCGTCGAGTTTGAGCAGGTATTGTTGCTGAACATCAATTTTGTGAATCTGTTGAATTCCCGGTTTCATGATTGATAGATGCATCACGAAAGAGTCGATGGATGGGGCGGGGCTAACAATACACACAGACTAGGCTCTGTACACTATGCTAATTGCGTATCGGACTGCTCATGATACCTAAGGTACGCTGCGGCAAGTCTTTCGGGTAGGTAAGTTCCCGCACCTAATTATACTTGGTATTGTTGCATAATTATTGTTTATCAGCAATCAAGTTTCAATTCGCAAAAATTCCGAAAAGCTTTTATGTTTTTGCCGCAGTTGCGTGTTCCATGGTTTTGCCAGAAATCGAGACCTCCGAAAAAATAATTTCCTAAAGCTAGAAACAGCAATTTAGGAGAATCTAAAAATATCATCGTTTAGGTCGAGAATTGTTCTTTTTGAGCCATGCTTAGTCCTTTCCAAAACTTTGGAATGAAATTTTCAAAAATTAGCCTAACTTTGAGCGGATAAAAATGACGAGTGAAGATTTGTGGCAGTTACAAAATAACCATACATGATCTCGGCTCTCAAATGTGACCAGAGGTGCGATAGGGGGAGCCAAGTCTCCCCCTACCTTCACTTTTGAGCTGGTACGGGGTGACCACCTTCACTTTTGGAATAAAAAATTTTTCGCTGGACGACAAAGAAGGAAAATAAGCAAAACAAACGCAAAAAAGATTATTGAAAGCATATATTTATGTATACGGCGGCATATATATTTAAAATAAAGGTTTTTAGTAAATGGTGTATTTGGAAGTAAAGCTTAGCAAAACTGTACGGATTTTATTAAGCAAATTATGTTATAACGTATAGCGAAGGAAGTAGGTCGATCCAGGCAGTAACGGCGGAGAACCAGAATTTTGAATATTTAAGTAGTGAAAAATCATGCGAAATTTCCACTGTTATAAATCTGTTGTTTGAAGATGTCAGCAGTTGCGACTTCATAGGTTTTGAAGAGTAGATGTTGCTCTATCAGCTAGTGAAGGAATCTGGTCGATTTAAGAGATAGTCGTTGAAAACCAGAGTTCTAAAACTTTACGCCATTTTTGCGTGTTTTTTGACTGTTGAGAGTTAAACTCTTATAAATCTTGAATGTAGAAGTGTATGATGTTGCGACTTCATAGGTTTTATAGAGTAAGGTTTGCCTTATCAGATTATGTCTTGTCCGTTCCGATCCATTAAAACACCTCCGAGATCCAGAGTCATGAAAAAGCATGAACTTCAACAGCTCATAACTTCTTCAGAACTGCATGAATCATGTTGCGACTTCATAGGTTAGATTCCTCTCATCAAGGGATTTCAGATGATATATAATATGTGGGGGTTTAGAGCCTCCTGCGAATTATGACCGGGGGGGGGGGAGACTTTTTAGGCCAAAGTCTCCCCCTCGCCCATTTTAATGTATTGGCTGGAGGCTGCCGGGGGAGACTTTGGCCTAAAAAGTCTCCCCCCCCGGGCATATGCCGTAAGAGACGCGAAACCCCCACATATTATATATCATCTGAAAGCTCTTGACGAGAAGAATCTAACCTATGAAGTCGCAACATGATTCGTGCAATCCTGAAGAAGTTATGAGCTGTTGAAGTTCAAAAAGCTCTTTTTTACCTGCTTTTTCATGACTCTGGATCTCGGAGGTGTTTCAATGGATCGGAACGGACAAGACATATTCTGATAAGGCAATCCTTACTCTATAAAACCTATGAAGTCGCAACATCATACACTTCCACATTCAAGATTTATAAGAGTTTAACTCTTAACAGTCAAAAAACACGCAAAAATGGCGTAAAGTTTTAGAACTCTGGTTTTCAACGACTATCTCTTAAATCGACCAGATTCCTTCACTAGCTGATAGAGCAACATTTACTCTTTAAAACCTATGAAGTCGCAACTGCTGACATCTTCAAACAACAGATTTATAACAGTGGAAATTTTGCATGATTTTTCACTATTTATTTATTCGAAATTCTGATTCTCGGCCGTTACTGCCTGGATCGATCTACTTTCTTCGCTGTACGTTATAACAAAATTTGCTTAATAAAATCCGTACAGTCCAACAAACTTCTACTTCCAAATACACCATTTACTAAACACGTCTATTTTAAATTTTTATAAATAAAATTTATAGATTTTTTCTAATATTCATCGTATCTGTGGCCCTAAAGAGGGCCGTTGGGTCGACGTTAGACCTAGAAAGATAGCTCCGTTCGTCCGTTCTATCCTCCCCCCGCACCTCCCCCCCCCCCCGTCGACGTTTTTGGGAGGTGAGTGTCCGACACTACCACCTTCACTTTTGGCCGGCCAGTGGTAGCTGAAACCACCTTCACTTTTGGAGGACCCGGCTCCCCCTATCGCACCTCTGAATGTGACCTTAAGAATGACAAGGAAAAGCTGCATCGAATGCATGTTGAAACTCACTCAGGTCTTCATTGTGCGTGGTTTTATAGTGGTTTGAAAAAACCGACAAAACTTTTGGGACAACCTAATATATAAGATATTATCAGTTGAATTTCGTTTTCTTAGGTGCCCATCGGTCGGGAAGAGTATAAAGTAAACCTCATAAAAGCAATATCTGTGTTGAGGACAAGCCTTAAACGTACTCTTGTTTCCATTATTCCTATGTGGAATTCTCAAATTCTCATTGAGGCTCAGTCGATAATCTTTGAAGGGTGAGTGATTACCCCCAAATATTTACATCGCACTGTTGAGAGGGTTTTTTGACGCAAATGCTCATTTCATTCTGCTTCTGCAAGCTCTCAATATCGTATCGTAAGGTGATAAACAATATTTTAGAAAAAGGCGAGAATGCGGCGAGCATTCTGTGGAGAAACGTGATGCGCTTTGTAGCGAATATAGAAAGGTAAGTGAAAGCTTAGAGGCGCTGTCCAAGTATAAATTCATCTCTTGAATTTTGGACGCTTTTGACTGTTCGCGGCCTGCTGAATCCTTTCTGCCCCTCAAACTATCCAAAAATCTCAGAACCTCTTCTTCGAGAGTCCCATTGGAAGAGCGATGGACAGAGGCGGTATGCTGCAGCTGTAAGAAATGGGCGGGATTACACCAACTTGTAGCGGAATTATATCGCCCCTTTTTGGACTTGTCTAAAGCAATTTTCTCGCTTCAGAATTCTTTTTGATGGGACTTGAAACGTTAGATTTACAAGAGCTGCGTCATGGTACTGCCTCAAGGTTCACCCACCCCGGTAAACCTGGACAATGCCTTTAACATGTGTTTCATGTTGTATTTAGCAATGGCGCTGCTCTCCCCTTCCCCTTCCTGTGAAACATTCGAAGATGACCTGCATAAACTACAGTATTTTTTCATGTGTTTTTCCCTTCCTGTTAATAAATTACGAGCTTTGAGTTTTTTCGAAAAATCGAATAAACATCACAAACGCTTTTTTGGGCGCATTGGACCTGGGAACTCGGAAATACGGAAAGTATCCAATAAAACTTTTGGAGAACGTGGTTAGCGCAACCCTCCCCCGCTCCCAACAAACTCTTCAAACGTTACTAGTATCTGTATTTGGTCATGTTTTACGTCTGAGTTGTAATTTTTCAAGTTGCCCTGTCACCAGTCTTGGAACAACAGAATATGGAGATCATCCTTTTCAAATTAAATTGAGATTGATTGAAAAAGTGGCGAATTTATGGACCTCTTCATCACTTTCTCACACCTCCACCTCTGCTTTTATGTATAATTTTCGAAACAAGAAGAACTTGATCGCCTGGTTACTCGTTATAAGCACTTTTTAGATGAAAATACGCTAAAATACGTCTAATTCTTCTTGCGGATGGTACGTAATTATGAAAGTAGGATCACATTTGCGGCTTCCTAAAATCCTATAGGACGACTGACTTGCTACCACCAGTCCTCTTCCTCTAATACTATTGTCATCTTCCTCTTAACTGCTATTTACAGGTGGCTTATGAGATACAGGATGAGAGGATGTTTGATAGTGAAGACTTTACCGTGGTTGCTCAAGGATTTATGGACAACGTTGTTGATGCCTTCCGAAATGTAAGCAATACAACACTACCATAGTAGACTGGTACAAACAAAGGGCTGTGCGATTGCGCATGCACATTCGTGGTCATTCAATCGCTAGTAAGTGCACCATTATTGCAAGCTGCAAGGGAAGGCCAGCGGCGGTGGAGTCACTATTGTATAAAAAACAGTATTGAAGGAAAGATAAATATGATGGTTGCAATAAGTAGAAAAATGGTCTTTCGCGTTCTGAATCTGCATTTGAACGTATAAATCCAGAAGGTAATATATACACAGGGTCATGTTAAAATGGGGAATACATACATAGTTTGGTCGCTTCATCGTGCTACTAATGTGTTCCCAAACAAAGACACTCAGAATGGGGAGTATGAAGATTTGTCGATTGATCTCAACCGTCTAGAATGTGGAATAGCATTGAAAGAAGTGACCTTTCAAGTTTTCACATACTTCAAAAGCTGCAGCCAGAACAAAGTAGAAAACCTTTTTATGTTTTGTGAAGAAAAGTTTTAAAGGCAAAGGCGAGTGCTAAAACAGTTGAACTAAATTCTTCTGCGTAGACAAATCTTTACCTTGTCTGGAAATTTTGGAATTGAAGCTTTGCAATAACTTGCTCAAGCGAGCTTGAACCGCAATGGTACCGAAGAGTAGTTTCCGCAACAACAGTTCCACATGAAATCTTCAAAGCATGAATAGTGTATACTCCTCGTCACACATTCACATTCTTTGGGTTGCAGCGAATGAAACTCTTATGCTATGCTGTACAACTCGGACTTATTTGAGGTTGTTCAAGTTGCGCATAAAGGCTTTGTATTTATTGGTTTTTATCGAAACTTGTATTCGGTCTATGGTTTGAGGACATTTCAAATTTTTTTTGAAATTTGTCGATTTTTCAGCAACAACCACAAGTTTTTCTTCAGAGAGACGGAGCTTACGACACATCGTTCTATGCTGACGACACCTTTCACTTGAGTAAATACGGTAATGCAGTCATAGGGAAATTTTTGTGGAATTCGATGCTCGAACCTGTTGGAAGTAAAAGTGTGCACGGGAATTTGGGAGATGATTCGATACCCCTGAAGTGCCCAACCATGGTATGTTTCACATTGTTGCTCATAAAGTGGCCATGCAGTATATGGACCAAATGCTGCCTCATTCAATGACTTGGCGGTAATGAGGTGGAATCAAAAAGATATCATAGTATCAATCGATCTGTATAGCCCGTGCCAACGAATCACTCAAAATTAGATTCGAATTATCTATATATATATATATAAAACTCAATGTCTGTGAGGATGTTCGTTTAATTGTTCGTTCGTTATAGCAACGCGCGCCACTGAACCGATCCGGCTGAAACTCCGCACACGTATATTTTCGACACCGGCGGTGGTTTAGAGCTACTCAGACACTCGCTGTTGACTCGCGCAGCCCAAAGTTTTGTGTAAGCGCTGAATGAAGGCGCGACACAAGTAATCGGCCTCGCGAGGAAATCCCGAGACAGCATCATGTGTCGGAACAATGCTGCCCGAGACAACACTTTGACCTTGCAGGAAATACGCGGCAGCTCGAGGGCGACACATCCTGTTGTCCGGACGCAAATGGAGCGCGTTATCTCGCAGTAGTAATTTCGCTTTATCCCTACTTGCTGTACATTACATATATGTATATATTATATGTGTATGTATAAATATACATTATATATATGTATATATATGTACACGCATATATATTAGGTCATTCCGAAAGTAATTTCGCTTTTTTCAAACGGGCGCCACATTTGATGGAACAAACATTTCTAAGAGATCTAGATGCATTCGATGCACCATTTCATTTTCTTTCTAACGGTTATGAAGTTGTTGCAAAACGGTCAATGAGCTTTCAGAAAATAACCACAATCTGCGACCCATGCTTTTAGAGATGGTCAAGTTTCACGATTTTTTAATTCATATCAATCCTCAGAAGGGGTTCAAGTAACGATTCGATGGAGCAAACTTTATAGGATACAGTACTTCTTTTTTCTCCTTTCCCTAGCTTGTCATACATTTTTAACAGAATTTTAACTGATGCTACCGATTTCCATACTTGGACAGCTAAATCCTAGTAGAACATCAAATCTTGCGCAGCTCGGGTGTCATTCGATGCAGCTTTTTCTCCTCTTTCCAATGGGTGTTTTTTGTTTCCGATTTGTTTAGTTTCCAAGGATAAATCATCATAACTCATTTTTTTAGGGAGCCCCAGGCTGTACCCGAAAAACTCGAAATTTGATATTTCGAACCCGTAAACCCTCACTTGCTTTGTAACATTAATGCTAACTCATAGTACCATCTTGGTAGTCTCAAATTCCAAAAAATTATGATGTTTGATGCGATTGTGGCTGAGATGGGCCTGCCAAAATCCGATAGTTCTTTAAAAAAATCTAAAAAATTATTACGGCGAGATGTGAGGAAGAGAAAAAAGTAGTACTGTATTCTATAAGGTTTACTCTATCAAACTGTTACTTGAACTCCTTCTGACGATTGATATGAAAGTTTTGAAAAATCGTGAAACTTGACCATTTCAAAAAGCATGGGTCGCAGATTTTGGTTATTTTCTGAAAACTCATTGACTGTTTTGTAACAGTTCCATAACCTTTAAAAAGAGAATGAAATGGTGCATCGAATGCATCCAAGATCTCTTAGAAACCTTTGTTCCGTCACATGTGGCGTCCGCTTGAAAAAAGCGAAATTACTTTCGGAATGACCTAATATATGAATTCTACAAAGTCTTAACCAATTTATTACTTCTAAAATGGCATAAGGATACTTCGGGGAAGTCAAACTACTATGCTTACTATCTTAAAGCTTCACGATATGGAGATACATAATGAGATAGAAGTGTACTTAGTAACCGTCTAAACAATGAGAATCTCGGATTGCAAATAAGTGATACGCAAAAGCGGGAGTAGAGTCAAGGCAAATGATATGATAGTGATATGTAAGTACAGCAAATTAGAAAGAATTAGTAGCAGATGGGCTAAAACTTGTCGGGGATGGTCTTTTCTATTTCCTTGACGCAGGTGCAAGGTTTATACTTTAAGAAAGGAGAATGAGCACTATGTCCAAAAGAAGTTCATCAGACACTTCATGAAATTGAGAAACGGAAATTTGAAAAGCGCTTGACGTAGTCTGACAGCTCCTTCTTGTCAACAATACGGAGCACCTCTGCAATGCAGAACAAAAGCTATTAAGATTTGTGTGGTAATCCACTCACTTCCTTTTTTCTCCTCGTCTCCTTTTGCTGCAGCACTGTCAGCCCATTTCCTTCTCCGCAGGGCAAGGAAGCAACCTAAAGAAAAGAAAGCTTACATCACAGCAAGATGGTTTGGCGTGAATGTGGCGTGCCACACCCCACAGCATCGACAACATCGACGACACCGACAACCTATGGCCGTTCCCACAGGTAGCATGTTGCAACAACAACAACATGTTAACAACAATGCGTCGGTTGGCAGTTTTGCGTATGTGACATAAGTGGCATAGGTGAGCTGTCGTGGAATGGCCGATTTACTATACACCCCCTCAATTTCTTTTTAAAACAAGCAACACGGTCCTATGTCGTGCATCGAAAATGGTAAGTTCAAATGAGAGTGACTCAAAAAAAACCAAAACAAATCAAAATTTACGTAAAGAATGGCAATGAAAACATACTATTTACCTCAATGATGCAAACGTCTGGCCTTTCCAATGTGCCATCAACGGGAATCCTGGCCACTTGCTCAACCCATTGGATTACTGCATCCGTAAAATGTGGAATTAAGTGCACCGTCTCTCCGCAGTAGTCGCCAAGTCGCTCACGATCAATAACCTGTAATTTGAGTTTTTCTTCATAATAGCCTGATATGTTTCAGCATGTAAGTTAAGAACCAGTGAAGAAAATAGGCACTAAAATAAAGCCAAAACTTACATGCTGAAACATATCAGGCTATTATGGACAAAAACTCAAATTCCACAATCCCACTATCACGGAGATAGTCGAGCTAATTTCTAGAAAAGAAGCTTCAAAATTGGATTTCAAATAAAGTTAATGTTGGATTGGGAAATTAATGGGAATAAGAGGGCTTAGGTGGGATGGATGGAATGCACGAATTTGGAAATAGGTAGCAAAAAACCTGGAATGATGCAACATGAGCTGAGATTTGAAATGCGCGTCGATATTGCGAAACTGCTCGCTGAGTCACTCATCATCTCCCGATTTCCTTTCGCGAACAACCGCAAAAGCTGTCAAAATATTGTCTCGCGCATGTCTACGCCCTTTCTCGCGAATCCCTCAAAAAGGGGCGGATCTCCGGCGCGAGTCAACAGCGAGTGTCTGAGTACTTTCCGCGGCGATTCGCCGGGCCATTCTATCGATTTATTGATTTGTTTACTCAAACCTAAGAAAATGAAGGGCCATCATGGCAACCGATCATTTTTACATATAAGCATGTAAGCAGGGGGGGGGGGGGGTAAAGTCCATTTCAGTCTTAAAGTTGGTAGGGTGCGGCAATTAGCCTGGAAGCGCTTTATGCGCATGTTAGAAGAAATCTAGAGGCGTAAGTTTACAAGCTCTTTTGGCTTAACTACATATCTTGAAGTCTCGGGTGACACCGGGGCGGCCAGCAGCTAGTTCTCAATATAGCAAAATATTATTATAAACTGGCTTACTGGAACTAGAGCTCCAATTGTATAAACAAAGACAAAAGTTGATATCTTCATGAAAAATTGTTGAAATCAATTCTATGAACATTTTTTCAAATTCAAATTGAAATGCATGTGTATGTGTTTCTTCCCTTTACGGGCCAAATGAGATTTGCAAATTATTTAGAACTTTCATAAAGCGAGATAGTGATCATTATAATCGATGCTTTGATATTTGTTTCTGATGCTTGAAATCTCACCGTGAAATCTGAAGCAAGCCAATAACAAAACATACGCGCTTGCGAATACCCTTTGATTCAACTGGCTTGGCACCTGAAAGGCGGGCTTCGTGATCTAATTTAGTTAGGTAATGATTAGAGAGCACGCGCGCGGGAAACATGCAGAATGCGTCGGGGGGCATGCGGCCTTAATTAGATCAAAAAGTTCCGCCTTCGAAACGCCAAGCCAGTTGAATCAAAGGTTACCTACAATTGTAGCATTTCATACGAATACTTTACGTAAATCGAACAGCAGAATAATAATCGGTCAACGTACTATAGGATACAATATTCCCTTCAACCATAAGCTCTTCTCTCGCAGTCTCGGATTGCTGTTAATTTCGAACATTTCGGATTTCGAACACAACCAGAATGCAGTATAAAACTTTCACAGGGCAGAATGATGTCTTGAAAATCCTACGGGCCTATGTCGAATTGCTTCGAAATGTTGCTGCTTTCTTAACACTCATCATTGTTTCATTGCATGTTATAGTGCCTCTCTCGCAATGTTATACTTTGGATGAGTATCCAAAGTATCCAAAACCTTGGTAATCAAGTATTTCAGACACAACAATTTTAACGCGCTTTTTTCTCTCCTCTTTCCATTTTCCCTCTTCCCACCACACCAAACATAGCTGTGACTACTCTCCCTAGCAGCACACCACAACCTTGTTTGTGTTAAGTTGAAGTTCATTCTAGTATTTTACAGGATCGACCATACATACAGACCTTGAACAACAAATGACTCCCATGGCTGCTTTAAACCTTCAATTACCTCTACCGAATGAACATGGTCGTTTGCTAACTACCGCTTTAACGGTCAACATTCTTCAAAGTGATCAAGGCACATCTTCATGTCTGCAAATGATATTTAATTACCCCTCGATAAACCTATGACCGAAGCTGACAACTGAAAATACTGTTATTATACACTTGCTGTAAAAACTTTCTATCTACCCTTTCAAGCGTTGTCGAGGCATAACTGCAGTTAGTTAGGATATCACCAGCGTCAACTTGGTTTGATTTGTATAAAACAAAAGTTTGTCATTACCCTCACATAAAATCTGTTTCTTCTTTCGCTTAAAGGATTTGGTCAATTATAAAGGTCATCAAAGAGAATAAGTCATCTCGTTCTAGTGCTTGGGCGAAACTTGATTGACGATATCTATTTCAAAAGACTGGATGACCAATTTGGAGAAGATCTATGTGAGTATTAAACTATCTAGCTTTTGTAATTGTCAGAGAATTGTTGAAGTTTACACAAACCTTCCCTATAAAAAATTCACTTATGAAGTTTGCCCGCGTACAGGGTTGTTTTTAGTCAGGAACTTTTGTACCGATTAGTAAAAATACATGTTAGTCTCCACAGGCAACTAGCTAGCCTTTCTCTTTCCGAGTAATGTGAGCTAGAATGTGCATATATTGTTGGTTTTTGACAGGCAATAGAAAAACTCAGAGCATTTTACAACAAAAAAACTGTAAAAGTCTAGGTTTTACGAAGTCAAAAGAATTCAAGTCATGCACAATCCAAATCAAAACATTGAGATAAAATTATAGGCGAGTGTTATTGGAGATTGGGCACTCAATAAGAACAAAGAGTATTTGGAAACACACTGAGATGCGGCGACCTCAAGAATTTGAAAAAATCGAAGCCAGATTTGCAGAGACATCTGAGAATCACTGAAATTGGAACATCAGAAGCTGAAAATTCGGGGTTATATTCATGCTCAAGCAACAGGCGTTGCAAACGATCGCTGGATACGACCCCCCCGGATTATTCAGTCCCTACCAAGTCTAACGAGTATTATATCCATAGTTAGCATGTCATATAATCACGTGCACCAACTTTGAGCGAATTCTGAAGGTTCCAAAGGTGAATTAGCTACTTTTTTTGCAATCAGTAGAAAGCGCTACTCCTTCTTTGTCTATCAAGGAATCCCGCCTCAATAGTCTCCAAAATGTGGAATTAGAAGCAAGCCAAAGTCTTGTTTGTCCCAATTTTCGCTTTTGATGGCTGTGCTTTTATCCAAGCATTACTTAGAGCAAAGAAGACGAATCAAGCTCCAGTCACTTCTGAGAGAACTATAGAATTCAGGCTGTTGAATCATGTATACATTAGTGCATCACCTCCGCTTCGCAGAGGACTCGCAATCGTTTTTAACTATCTATAGGCCTCACCCATCTTTGCATAAGATGGCATTGAAACTCGTCGCACAATGCTCAATAAACTGTAAACGCTACCCACTCCGAAAGCATTCCACGTGAGATCGGTAGACTCGCGTGGATGAAACTTTCCGCAGTAGAATAAACGTAAATTTAGCCGTTTTCATGCTTTTCATGGTTTGGTAACTGCCTTAATAAAATAATTACCGCACCCTACACCCTTTTGCGAACTGCGGACCCAATTTTACGGGTCAGAAATCAAGTGGAGCCATATGACGCTTAGTTTTCAAAGGTCGACTCGGCAAGTTTGCCCGTCCCCATGCATGGTAGTGTAGGTGTTGGCTGCGAGTGTTGTGTAAAAAGCTGCGGGTTGAATTCTTGTCTGCGGCTCACCCTATGAATTTCTTACAGACAGACACACACAAAAAACGTAAACACCCATAGCCCATTATTATAAGTTATGATCATTCGCTAAAAACTTCTAAACAAGTTTTAGCGAGAGGTCGCGAAATTCTTGAAAGTTACTTATATGGGTTACAAAAATGTGCAAGTGACCTGTTTATACTTGTGAATAATTGAAATAATTTTGAAAATTTTTTAAATATTCAAATTAGCCTTGCAAACAATTTTCTTTGGCGGCATGACTGCCGCCACGCCCCTTTTTCTGATATTTTGAGGTAATGGGCCCACAAAAACATTGGTGAGCTGATTCGTCTTCTTCAACTTCTAAACAAGAATTCAGCGAATGATATATACATAATTCAATAGCCTGAATCTCGCAATTCTCACAGGAGTAATTTGAGAGTGATTCGTCTTTTTTGCTTGCTTGAAAACCTCTTGAAAATGACACAAAACATTTTGCACAAAACATAAACCCCATACGAATTCTTGCCTTTTTTGCAACAGTAATGCTTTGCTCGATGATGAAATTTTTATCGAAACTGCAATGCAGTTAGGTTACACCCAAATAGAAACTATGTGGGTATCTATCTCCTATGCAAGATAGTCATGTCAGTTTTAATGTGTTGGCCACGAAGCCTTATGAATTTGTTCGTTAGATTCATGTCGGTCGTTATAAATCAATTTACATTTGGCGCAAATCAAATGTAATTACGATAAGATCAACCTAAATGCGGAAACTACAAAACAAGAAACAGGTATTTTTTATATGTATTTGTACGCATGTAAAGAACATTGTTGCCGATCTGTGAGAGTTTTATTGGAAAGGAGAAAAAAGTAATCAAAACGACATCCCACAGATTTTCTGATTAGAGTCGGTGACTGCTTCGAAATTTAAAGCAGGTTCCCAAAGTTCCCAACTACAACATGCGGTAAATGTCAATGTTCTCGATAAAGTGCGACTAATGAAAATATGTTCGCACACATTTATAGATTTGGGCTTCTGACTGTTATCGACACATGTTTTTTATAGAAGTTGGAAGGTTAAGTACAAGAATATCCAGGTGCTCATTACTTATCCTATACATGAAATTTCTGGAAACATTTACACAAAATGGCAAATCCTTGAATGATTCATATGAATTAGAGCCCAGTCAGATTTTTAAAGGTGTACAGAGCAATGCACATTCTCACAAACTATTTTGATTAATCCATAAATCAAATTTGCTTGCTCATTCAGCATGGCCTTTGAAGACGTTTTCAAGGTAATGTTTGCTTCATAATTTATGCACGTTTTTCTTTGCACTTCTTCCAAAATTTGGTTTCGAAATAAAACTGTTCTTCTTGAAAACTTTTTAAAGTATTAAAAAACACTCATCTTTTAATTTCTTACCAATGTCTTACATCTTGTTCAAGCCAGAATTCTGTATTTACAAAGACAAGGAACTAAAACTCATTCCACTTTTTTTTACTGTGATACCATGAAAATTTTTGAATTATTTTAAATATTCATAGAATTGTGCTACGAAATGTGCTACAACTCAAAACTAGGTTCTTGACAAGTCCTGAGCAAGAAGTTTCTTTTCAAATCTGGCTAATCGCTAGGACCCTTCTATGGTATATGAAAATCTTGGGAAAAAACGACTGCAGAACTTTTGCACTTGAAAGCCAAGGTGAACTAGTAAACCAATGATAGAAAAATGAGGGGTGAGAGGGGGGGGGGAAATTAGAGAAATCGAAGAAGGCAATTTTTCGCCTGAAAACACCAAAGTGAGTACCTTTGAATTTTAGCAGTATTTTCTCGCAAAAAACTCCTTAGAACCCTAAATTCTTTACACTGCTTAACCGGCCATCGGCTTAGTGTATAAGTCGCGCCATCATAATAGAATAGGAAGTAGGTTGTGCTGCCCTCTCCCTCTCAAACTAGGTTTACGGAAAATATTTTTAGCAACTTTTAGGCTATAAAATTCTTATGGTGACTGCAATCACAAATCTTCATAGCTAAAGCTGGTTCGTTTAGAGTGTTTGAATGCCAACGGAACGATGTGCTCTTATCAAGAAACTTACCGGTGTACATAATCTCTTATAAATATCCTAATTACTTTAAAGTATTTGGCAGTACACAAGTATTTGGTTTGCTCTTTTGAGTGAGGGAACAAAAGTTCTTTATTTGTATTTGAAGATTTGTAAGTTTTCGCAATGTATTCACATATAATCTATCAAAAGCTATTCTATAGAAAGTCCTTAATCCTATAACAACATTTTGGTAAGTTTTTAATATGAGATGGTTATCGAGATTTATGCGAAAAAACACAATATTCAATTATTTGGAGTTAGATCGCCGAAAATGTAACGCTGTCAAAAAAAAAATAGAAAATTTCAACACTAATCCCAGAATTGGAAAAAAGTTTTCACTGATGGATGTATCAAAATGAGATGGGAAAGATGTCATAAAACCAAGGCTTCAGGTTATTACTATTTTAATTCAAAATCGTAGCTATTCGTAGATATCCGACCAACGCAAAATTTCTCAATATTGTTGGGCCGCTTAATTTAAGACGATAGAAATTTGACTGCTCTCCTCCTGCAACATGTATTCATGTAATTTCATATTGGAAAGACAAGGACTTTTTTCAAAGAAAATTTGAATAAGTGTGTGAGGCAAATAATCCAATCAAGCATGGTGTAAAGGCAATTTTTGATTGCCTGACATGCTATTCGCGAAAGCTTTTTTTAAATTGTTGCGCATGCTCAAGTTGGGCGACACGTGTCAGTACTTCAGTTTCCCTGAACCAGTGACATGAAAAGCAATGAACTCTTTTTGTACAAAAATCTTATTTCACCATAATTGACTTAGACATCAAAACTGGACTGAAATCACAGTTTTGTCTTGAGGTATGTTATCAGGATCACCCGTTGACACTAACATGGCAAAATTCTCCAAGTTGCAGGACTAACATGACTATGCAGTCTAAATAGTGTTGAGATGAACTACTCACAAGGAAAGTGAAGTAACTTAGATTCGCATTCTGAGATGAGAAACATATATGTGAAATTAGCTTTAAACTCTGATTCCGAACATGCTATTCCTAGCTGCGGCGCATCGTTCGAAAGCGAGTTATTGAATTTTTTACATCCGGAAATTGCAATCTTATTTGACCTACGGGGATCACCGTACTAACATTGTGGTTGATACTCTAGTCAAGTTCTTTGTTAACGACAACGAAATTGATCTGTTGGTATTTTGATACTGCAACCCTTTTTCCGGGCAGATTTCTGTCTATAGGCATTTATCCCTTGATAAGCGAGATACGTAAATTTTCACATAAAAACCAATAACTTGCTTCAGAATGAGAATGATGTGCCACAGCTAGAAATAGCATATTTGGAATTAGCGTTTGAAGCATGTGTATGTGTCGCAAATACTGTCGCATCTCAAAACGCGAATAAGTTACCTGACTTCCCTAGTCATATGTCTGGTTTTAGAACTAACTTTTTCTAAATTCTATCGTTTTTCACGGCTCGTAAGTGCTTAGTAAATTTCAACGCACCAAGCTTCCCTTCAATGCTCTTGGGTCGCATTCCTGTAATCCATTCCATAATGTTGATAAAGTTCGCGCAAGAAAGAACCGCATACAATAGCAGCTGTAATAGATTGTGCGATTACGTGAGCCGCTGATGAGAGGAGGACTACTCTATATATTGTACTTGTCTGAACGATCGCATATCAACATCTAATTATGCTACCTTATCAGAGACACACAAAATGGGGTTCAGTGTAGATTTGTTGTTGTCGATTATCTAAATGGAAGAGGTTAACGCTAGAAGAGGAAAAAAAGGAGCGACTTTGAGCATTTGTACACTGCAAAATTACAGTCAGGACCAGAGCCGGCATGGATGGTCTGAGATCAAGATACGCGCGCACCGCTTCGCGTCCGCTCAATTAATAATACTTCTTCCGCCTTCGTCATGCAGCAGCCTTTAGGCAATGTGTATACAATACTACTCCAAACAACATTATGTAAAAGTTTCAAAAACGTATGTCCTAGTACCCGTTCCTTAATTTTTTGGTTTCTATAACACCAAACCAACTCGGTTGGTTTAGATGAATGATTAAAACATCATATACAGGGTGTCCCAAAAGTAAGTACACACTTTTCAATCGTCAATATTTCTCTTCCCAATGGGTCTTTCCTTGCCATTCAAGTGCCATTCTGTAGAGGAGGCTTCAACTTAGATTTAAAGTATTGATCGAATCACCGATTGCTCTTCGTTACTGTAGGATTACGGTAAGAATTTCCAGCATGTGGAATCATCGTGAAGTATGCCTTCTGACAAAATTTTTTCAAAAAATCTGAAAATTTGTGCACTAGGGTTTTCGCGCACGCTGATTCCACTATACAACTTTTTACGAGTGTTTTCAGCTTCTTTAACGGTGTAACCACATTTCTGACAAATACTGAGAATTCGGTTATTACGGCTTACCTGGGGTAACTTGGGAAAGAAGCATCATAGTAAAGTGGGAATTTCATATTCGGGTACAGCGGCTTCCATCACCATAGTACAAGGGTTTTTGGCTTGTTTGGTTTTGTTTCGAGGCAGAATGTGGCTTCCAATGACCTAAAATCGTTGTCGAAGTTTCTACAGTAACCCCACAGTAATGAAGAGAGATCGGTGATTCGTTCGATACTGTAAATCTAAGTTGAAGCCTCCTCTATAAAATGGTGTTTACGGCGGGAAAAGACACAGTAGAAAGAGAGATATTAACGGTTGAAAAGTGTGTACTTACTTTTGGGACACCCTGTATAGTGAACATGTAGTGAACAGAGCGAATCAAGTCATTATCCATCCTTTTTTTTTCAAAAATGTAAACCTACTCATTGATAGATATCGCGCTCCAGTTACATGCGGCAACCTTTGAACTGTGTGGCGAAAAATGCATCGCCAAATTGTTTAGGCTACGGATTTGGTTGCCTAGGTTTTCGGCATACTGGGCACTAAAGTGGTTCCATACTAATAATAGAGCCTGTAATTGATTAAAATGTTTTCTTGTTTTTTTTCGTTGTATTAGATATCTCAAGATACTCTTTGCTCGCTTTTTCATTGTTATGTTGATTGAATGAGGGTTTCCCTATTGATTCTACGTCAAAGGAGACTTCGTAAATACAGTCATGAGGGATTTCGTTTCCAAAAATGCTCCAAATAAACGCGTGCCGAGCACTAGTCTCGACAGAGCTCTTTTTTGAGCTTTATAGGGAAACCAACTTGGACTTTAGCCACAGTTTGGACTTATTACCGAAATACAGCCGAATTACATCCTTTTCGAAGCGGACGAAACGTAAAATCTTGTGCTAAACTTCTTGACATGCACATAAATTCCTCACTTTTTTAATAGAAATTTGGTATTTACGAATTCTATTGGATAATTTTGCTTACACAATCTTGAATTGCCCTAATACTGGGGGAAATTCTCTGCAACAATACATCCACCTTTCAAGATTTCAACAGGATAATTTACCCTTTTCTGGCTGTCTTGAATATTTCAAGATCAAAAGGTATTTGGGTTATTCCAGCACCACCAAAGCTTCGCATTCGCTAGATTAAAGATATCAAACAAAGTCGCTCTCCATTCCGCAGTATTGAAATTCAATCAATCCCATTTTGTTCATTGTCGATTGTTCACTTTTATTACTAAAGTTCTGCTGGATACTGGCGAGAGATTTCTGATGTTTTGAAAAATGATTTGTAGTTCAAAAAGATGGTTCTTAGGACACTTCGTATGCTAACGACATATTTCATCTAAGCAAATGCGGAAATACAGCCATAGAAAAATTTGCGTGAAATTCATTACTTAAACCTGTTGGAAGCAAGGCTATGCACAAAATTCTGGGAGATGATTCGGTACCACTGTCCAACCAAGATATACGTCACACTTTTGCCCATAAACTTACTTCAGAAGCAGAGGTCAAAGTTGTTTAAAATGATAGTGAGTTGCGAACGAAAAGGTGGTCATCTACTACTGCTTAACTAAGATAATATTTTTTTGAAAGTCTGTAACGTATCATCTTGATTGGGATTCACTCCATTAATTGTGGAACTGGAAAGCCGAGGTGATGGGGGCATGGTATCGCAGAATTATTTTCAGTATTCAATCCTGCTTAGAAAATCATCTTTGCTGCGCCCTAGTCTCACGCTACTGCTGAGTTTTGCTTTAATCACCTCTTAGAGCAGTTATTGCTGCAAAACACCTGCAACCTCGTCCGCTACCTCAAAAAACAACTCGTAACACTTTAACTTTTAGTTAAATGAAAACAATTTTTCAAGGAGGAGATGCAAGAGGAATCAAAGATCAATTTCAAGTTGATATTCCAACAGAAAATGGTGCCTTCATATCTGTAGGACATATCCTCATAAGTAAAGTAGAGTTAAGTCAATCAGTAAAAAAGTGTCAAGGATGAAAAAACAAGATATCTAAGGCATTGTTTGGTATTTATGTGAGGGATTTCCTTCGTCTCAGACAATAACGCGGACGAGCGGCGGGCCTTAACGGCTTTCCGGGCGAGCGGCGGGCTTTGATTTGTGGGCGTGGCTTTCTTGCGGACGAGCGGCGTACCCTCACTACCGAGCGTGCGAGCGGCGGGCCTTGATTTGACCAGCGGCGACCCATCCCCTCAAGCGGGTGGGCGGCGTGCCATCAACACGTTAGACTAACTTGGAAGTGTTTATCCTTTCAGCTTGCTTTTGCATCATTTCTATGTGCGAGTCATTCTCATTTACTGTTATTGCGGCTCAAGGGCAGTCAACTATCAGTGGCCCTCAAGAATAAGCAGGTCAGTGTTTCTGCCCCGCATATTCAGGGATTTGCGTCCTGCGAGGGGTTCTCCTGCCTCAGACACTGGGAGAGCGCAAGCCGCGGCTTTAGAAGGTTTTTGCGGGTCTCCAGCGGCTTCAATTGGGGGCGTGGCTGGGGTGCGGCCGAACCGCGGCCTTTTCTTTCATTATCATTGCACCGGCCGAGTCCCGGTGAAACCGCGGACAAATGGGCTCACCGGCTCAGCCGCTTCCCTTAATGAAGGGCGAACATTGCAGCGGCTGAGCCGCGAAGAATCTGTGAATGGAGTGAAGGCCGCGGCTCGACCGCCCCTAGTGTCTGAGCGTAAAGGATACTTGCCTGATGTACCTCGCATGGTCAGTGGTCAGGCTGCCTTAGATGTCCATAAAGTTAGATGTCTTTCCAGTCTCCTAGCAGGAACAGGATCAATATGTTGTCTTGTGAACAAGCTTGGACAGCATCTTGTCGTTATTCAATTTTGAATCGGACTTGAAAATTAAAGCCGCTATATCAGTGACTTTAATTTTTATTTTTTTCTACTGTGCATTTTAATATGTGCCGTGGTGGCCCGAGGCCCAATTAGACCGAGCTGGAATGGACTACGGACGGCCCGTCAACCAGCTAGCCGAGTCCCACCTGCGGCCGAGCCGAGGCTCATTCTCCGGTCTTAGCTGTTAAACACGCGCTTCTGTGTTCCATATGTCCAAGTACATAAACGATAAGCGAAAAAGAGCTTTCTTTTTGTATAATATCAAAATCATACCTTCAGTTTTGAAATTCAATGCTACAGTAAGCATGATTCAAACACTGTTTCTAGTAATATTGCTTTGACCTGCGCTGACTCATTGGAATTTTTATAAAATTGCAGATAATTCGTGAGAAACTCCAATTTTCTGACGGCGTGCACCATTTCACCTTGTTTTGACCTCAATTTTGCAAGTAACTTTGTGACGGTCGCTCAACCTTGTAGCATAATGTTCGAAATTAGACCACGAAGCGTTCGAGCCTACGGAGGTACTTCTAAAGATAATTGACGCCTTTGTGATGTATTGTCATCACACCTTCTTAGAAGCAGTAAATGAGTACGTCACTCGAAGAAGTCATCAAAGGCAAGTGGATTCGGCACATGTTGCCGAATTGCAAAGGCGCGAACAGCAAAACAGAGAAGTCATTGAAAACTCTAATATGGAAAACCAAGGTGGTATGATACCCACTGAAAGATCTGAATTTCAACTCTCAAGAAGTTCTACTAAGATTATTATGGTGAGCCACCGAGTGCTTCAAACATTGCGGCTGATGAAGACATTACATCAAATCATGCCCGCAATCATGATGAGTCAACTTCAGACCCCGAACCATTCAGAATGTGTATGTACCCATATTTTTCGGTCACAAATCACGACATCTATTCAGCCGTTTTTGAACGAGCGATATATTATGCCATGTACGTGCTTCATTTCGGAGTTTCTGAGGAAGAAGTGTCTCGCAAGGAGGAATTGATGACCGTTATTTATGGATTCCGTCCACCTATAATGGTATCCGAGACACGATCTTCTCATTTGTTCCTTCTTATTAAGAGATTTCAGTATGAAAAACATGTAAAGGAACTGAACGAAAGCATCATGCATGACTATGATCATCAGAGATATTTCTTTTGTTCTGGTTGTATGGAGTTGATGAGTCCAACACAATATATCTGCACTAATCGCAGCTGTAAAATTTTTGGGTTAGGTTTCCGAATGATCGAGTGCAACAGGAAACTATGCATTAAAGATTGCCGATAAAGAGAACGAAGCGAATGGAAAGATCGGAGGTTCACATAGTCAATATTCTTCCGCAAGTCACCGATATCCTTGTCGGTAACTTCCACGAAATAATCGAGATGCACCGATTCCTTCATGAGAGGGTAAATTCAGCAGGTTCTTCATTATTTTATCACGAGTTATGCCAAGATTGATGTGACGGATCGGAGCGACAGACGGCTTTTTGGTGGATATTATGCAAACATCGAAACTGCGTCGGACTTCAACCGAAGGCACTTGAAAATTCTTCTATCACTGTCTATCGATGGATTCGTTCCAAGAAGGATTTCTAAGTTGGGTCCTATACACTCACGAAAACTCCAGCATTAGATTAGTATGTACAGAAAAGAAATGTGGCCACTCTATCTTCGCGTCGAAGGATTACATCCATCAAAAGCAGATCAATATTTCAACTCCGTGATAGCCGGAATGATGCACACGCGCTTAAAGCCGACACAAAAAATGCTAGAAGTTCTTTTCAGCAGGCAAGATTTTATCGCCAAGTCGAAGCAAGCTTTGTAAACATCAGATATGTCTAGGTTTAAGGCTGAGCTTCGAAATTTGCTTGAGGCCCCACTAGAAATAATGTGTGGAAATTCCTTATGGACTGTGAGCATCCAGCTTTTCCGCGGGATAGCCGATATGGCGGTCAGTGTTTTTGTTACACATGCTATGTATGTTTGGTCAAAGTGCAGGCGCAACAAGTTTTATTTGGAACTCCGCGATGGAATTCGGAATACGGATGTTCAAAGTGTTATATACGAGGACAACTGATAGATAGTCATAGAGTGTGGATACCTGCGACTAACGCAGACAACAGAACACGGAGTGAAGGATCTTACTGTGTTGATGCGGAAGCGTCACAATATGGACTAAACAGTAGGGCACTTATCAGTTTGGTTTTTTAATATTCTCCATCATTTCAGCAAAAACCTTTTTGTTCGACTTGTTACCTCCTTGTCATTTTCTTGGTGACCAACTACACATTTGCTCCGAGGGAATTACAAGAAATAGATTAAGGGGTGAACTTACGATGCCAACAATTATGAGTTGAAGTTTGAGTATTACAGATTTGTTCAGTACATCGTCCAAATTCCCAGAATTAAGGATTTCAAATGAGGGAATTGAGCGCGTAAAAAATAGTCTTCTCGGAATGCAATCACATACATATACTGGAAGCTTGATTTTGTCTTTGGAGGATATTCCGACTTGCAAGGGAGCAGAACTGGAGGAGGTATACACACTGACTAAAATGCCTTTGAGTCTTTCCTTATTCGATAATGGCAGTTCCTTAATCTAGTTAGCATCAGTGATATTCCCACTCGTCGCGGCGGTTGATATTATAAGTTCACCCCTTGCTGCAGCCAGTCTGATAGGCTACTGGTTATGCCTGCGACTTATCTTAAAAACTAAATTTCTTACAACGTCAATTATTGAGAAGGCACAAACTATTGCTTCTTATACCAAAGAACTATGGGTTACTCTAGCACCACAAACCTATACAATGAAAACCCATGTAAGTGTATGGTTTCAATTATCAACACAAACGTTTTGTTTTTTGACTTTTTTCGTCTATAGTGGTTCTTCGACCATGCTATGAAAGGCGAATTGACTCAATATGGAACGCTTTATCAGTGGTCTTCTTCAGTAATTGAAAGTCACCACCGCAGACTCCAACTGAAAATAAATCAAACAACAACTAATAGCGCAGCGCTTGTACTGGAAAAGTAAAAGCAATCATTTTGATTCTTTCCCTAATATCTACGTTCGCAGGTATTTGCTCGGAAAAAAGATCCGTCTAATGTTCATTCAAAACTCTGACAATGAATTCTACGAGTCACTCAGAAAGAAAATCGAAAATCAGCACAACGAAAGGTCCACCTTGGTGCTATGTTAAATGTGCAATAACGTGATCGTTTAGATTTCCCACTGATATTCAAATAAACGCAGAGTGCTACATACCCAAACATAGCCGAATCAGATTTGAAGAGCTTCATGAACCCGAAAAGGGGCGAATAATGCGTACACATGAGATTCCTTAGTACGTGATATGCTTCATCAAGCTTCTAGCTTCTTACAGCTTTTTCTTTATTAGTTGCCGCCTCGTCATAAAAGGCCGAATTTTTTCAAGCGGCAAGTATTGGAGGCATTCTAAAAGAACGCGACAGGACCTCGTTTATATCAGATCCGAAACGGGTGAAAGCGTAAATAGCTACGGATCTGTTACACTTTTCCTATATAGCGCACTGACTAACTCTGTAACAGTGTTGCTGGAAGAGTATTCCACAAGTAACCCTTTTGTGGACCTTCTTTTTCAGATTAATCGATTCCCACATTCGGAAGAGGGCACAAGAATAGGATTAGGACTTATGAAAGAAGTCATGGAGAGTAACAGCTTCTTTCGCAAAAAAACTGGAGCATATACAAGTACCAGGAATGCTTCTGACATTGCCGGAACATGCTCAATAATCAATTTTGGAAGCGACACATATATATGTAGACTTTGAATGATGTGTTTGATTGAATAAATATCTTTTCTCCCGTTGCTTGGCTTGATTTATATCGTTATCGTGCCGCTATGTTTTCTCTAGCACATTGCTTCCTCTGCTTAATTGTTTTGAATTACTATTGCAGTGAAATGTACCGGCCATATATTCTTAGCAGTGTCGCAGCCCCACCAAGAGTCTACGCCAAGCAGAGATCCGCTTTGAGGCAGCTGGCATCTCCTCAGAAAAAGTTCGTTTTGCACCTCATCCTAAGTTTCGATATTAAGTTCGCATTTGCAGTGATGAAAGAGTCGAGAATGAGTTCAACGAAGAAAATTCCGCAGGGATAGAAGAGGAGGTTCCTCGAGGTAAATATTCATGACGTCTTGGACAAAAAGCTTTGAAAAGTTTTTGATTTTTGAGGGAACGTCTACGAGAGGAGTGAATTCCACTTCGATGCACGTTCTCGTAATCCTGAAACATCTCCTTCTCCTAAATCCTTATACGACTGCGTTCGCAACAATGTTTTATACATGGATCAAGCCGCCAAGTATATACTGTCAAGGATGCGTCAACAAAGATTCAATGAAGCAACTTTTCATGTGAATTCTACCCCTGTAAACTACAAAAGCAAAAAAGGGTTTTTTTTTAGGAATTTGTGAGATCCAACATAGTAATGTGCGCTAAGACGACATATGGAGATCTAAATCGCTTGAATGATCCCGATAACCATCAGCTGTGGAATATTGCTAATAGAATAACGGTATGGCTGAGTTTTTTGTTCGTTAATATCATTGTAATATCCTGTTTCAGGCTGAGATAGCCAGGGCAATTTCAACAAAGACGGCACGATTTATGGAAAATGCGGAAAGGAAAGCTCCAGATACTAACGTTACTGTTAGTGTGCACAATTGCTCAAAGCTATGGAAGATAGACGCAAATCCCCCGTTTAAGCAGGTTCCTACAAAGATTTCATGACATTTATGAAAACACTAATCTAGATCAGTCTAACGCAACTAGCTAGGGATTGGGAGAAAAAAAGAAAAGGGAATGCGTATCAACTACTTTGTTCCTTGTATCGATTTGTGCTGGAAAGAGTAAGTTTCAGGAAGATTTGCAAGGAAGGGTACTTTCTACAAAGTGCATTTAGATCACGGAGCCCCCAGAAAAAATCCAGGAATTTTCCGTGAGAATGAGCCAAACCGGAGGAAGGAATGAGGCTTTAAAAAGCCTCCCCGAAGAAATTGAGGACGTGTTGAAAGGTAAAGGGCAAGTTTATAGGGGCGCGGTTTGAATATTACCAATATTTAGATTTTGGAGAAGATATGCTAGGCTTCGGGCACGACGAATTAAAACCCTGGATGGATGTCAATCTTGAGAATTCTAAGTGAGCTCTCCAAGATCTAGACTTGTTGTGAACTACGAAATAATTCATTAAAGGTTTTACAAAAATCTAGCACAAACGGATGAAGAAAGAGAGAAAATTTTGGATGAATTAATGGAGCAGCAAAAGGACTGGCGGCCACACCTCTTCAGATGCCTGCAAATGGCGCTGTATGTTTAAGAAAATCGGTTTCACCATTCTACATATTGTTTATAAAATTTAGGCGAGATGTGCGGTCTTACAGTTACCACTCGGGGAAATGGATACCTAGCGACGTGAGAACATAACAGCAAATAGACAATTTAGTGATTATTTTATGTGCTTCAGCGACAGAAACGTGCGGCACCAGGAGATGAAGATGCTTCGGAAGGTGGAAGAAAAAGATTGAGAAGATTCTAGAAGAAGACTTTTTGCTAAACAGCGGATTTTTGGCGTACGTGTAGATGGGTGCTTGCACCTTTGCACCTTTTTTCCGCTCATGAGAATGTGATCTTGTTGTTTATTTCGTTGATACTTATTTTGTTCCGGTTTATCATCTCGTGCTGTTTCAATTCATGACGCTGAGCATGCTATTGCATCTGCTTTTGCATGTGGTTAGCTTTTCTAATAAACCAACGTTACAATAATTGTTTGTACATATCTATCTCAAGAATTTAGGCGTTAGCACATCTGCCCATAGGAAATGAAAGGAGAGATTATTAACGCAATGACAGTAAGCTGTCAAATCCGTGCAGTCTTCAGAAGAGGCATATCTCTAGAGGGAGAGCGAGACAATATATAATTAGATATTATCCCGCCAAAGGCACTCCGCTCGTCCGCTTTGATGCGAGCGGACGAGCGGAGTACTTTTAGCGGGAGAGTGGAGGGAAGTACTCCGCTCGCCCGCTAAGGGTACTCCGCTCGCCCGCTAAAGGTACTCCGCTCGTCCGCTTTATATCTGTAGCGGGCGGCCCGCGTGCCTCTAGAGGACGAGCGGCGGGAGGCATGATCGCCCGCCCGGTAATGGCCCTCCGCTCGTCCGAGTTATTGTCTGAGGTAGAACCCTCTTCCTTTTCGTTAAAATGCTGTAGCCAATTCGTGTTCTGACTAAACAATTGCCATACTGTACGCTATCACTCAAAAGTGATCAGACACGACCATCTCTTCCCGTGATTGCATAACTATGAATTGATTAAGACTTGAAGCTCATTTTACTTTTTGCACGATTGCTTATCCTTATATACAGGTCTTGAACAACAAATGACTTCTGTGACTGCCTCATACCTCTGAGTACGTCTGTGTTACCAACAGTGCGAGCATGATTCAACCATATTTGGGTTTATTGTCTGGAGGGACAACATTTTTCTTCAGTTATAATAAGTGCATTTTGCATATCACTGGAACACCTCCGCACATACAGAAGGTAATCGCGATCGGTACATAAATCTGCTGAAAAGATTGTCAATACTGTCTTCATCTCATTACACTCTTCAATTCGAATCAAGAATGAGAATGCTGCTGTTTTTTTTGTTACACTCCGTTGGAATCAAAGTTTAGCTTTACTTCAAAGATTAATCTTCCTTGCTTTGGGTAGATTTGATTGAATCAGATTGAAAGTTGATTGTCCTGTTTGCAATGTAAAGGTGTATGTAGGCGTTTGCAATTCAACTCTTTCGGCCCTGATTCTTTTCTGTGAGAACAGAAATCTACTTTACATTGTTTACTCGTCAGCACACAAGTGACATATATGCCTGAGGCGATTTTCAGCAGTGAGTATGTAAATCTGCTGTTACCCTCATTATTTCCAAACATGTTTATCTTGACACGAAGTATTATTTGCTATGAATGATTTTAGCAAGAATCGTTGTTGTTTCTTATTAAGTTTCTTATTTTTGATTTACAATATCAATAGTGCTCTCGAAAATGATCGATATGTGCTAAACAAATAGAAGTGGAGGTTGTGTGCGAGCCAACTTTGAAGGAGTGATTCTATTTGCATTTTCGTATTTTTGCAACATATCTTTATTCTAATTCTTTATTCTACATATTCTTTATTCTATTTCGCTTCAGCCACATCAACAAAGTTTGAATTGACTGAGTTTAGATAACTGTGAATGCATCGGATTCAAAAGGGCAGACTCGGTCATTTACGAATGAGTGCATGTTAAAACTGAAGAGAAAATATTGATTTTTATAAGATAATTATCTATCTAGCTGGCCATATTTGCATTTTGCGTGAAGTGAGTTTATTTGTCAAAATTTGTTTATGCTGTGGATGAAAGAAGATCATATGTAATAAAACGATATCATGCACAATACCTTCTACGTTTCCCGCAAAAAGTGGTGCTTGGGAAGGGCTTCCAAAATTTTATCAAGATTGTGCTCTTTGCTGCAAGTCTCTTTATATGCTCAGCTGCTGCAAATGGCGTTTGAGCAAGGACTTATTTCCACATGCGTTACAATTGCTTCCTTCACACAAGGAGATTTTCTAGCTATAAGCATGTTTGCCCAAATGATAGACGATCTAACAGACCTGTGCTACAGAGCATTATAGTGCAAAAATCGTAAAATGCGCGCAATCGCAATTCACAGCAGCAGTTCCATAGGTTGGAGTTGCGTTACTCGATACTGACAATGAGTTTAGTAGTATGCTCGGAAGTTTGCCGGTTTACTCAACCCAGATGTGATAGAAACCCTCATAAAATGCAGCTTCTCGTTCTCTTTCTAATAATTACTTTTTCGTACCATTGTCTTATAGAGCCTTCTTCATAACTTCTTCTCATTTCCATGTGCTCATTTCAGCTCATTTTTAAAAAAATGAGTACAAAGCTTTAGATAAAAAGTTTCAAGGTAGGCCTTGGACTATGCGGTATAATGCTGAATTCATGTGTTCTGCTCTTTGAAGGAAAAATTATTCCATCGGAGAACTCGACTTTTGGTAAAGTCATGAACCAACTGCAGAGCGAATATACAAGTTTTGAAGTTTTTGCGTATCGAAGAACATCATTTGTGCAAAATAATGAAGTTTGAGTTGCTTCGAAGGGGCAGCTCTTTGAAATTCTCGGCACTCCTGTGCGCTACACGTGTTCAAAAAACCGTGATTTATGCAAGCAGATAATTATTACAGAGTTCAAAACCTATACCGTGCAATCTAAAGTGAGTAGATTGCAGCTATGGGTCTATGTTACACAAAAACTACCTGCGCTTTTTATGAAAATTGCAATATTTCTCGAAATTAAAAAAAAAACTGTGCATCGCAAACTGCTGAAAGAGCACGGCAGTATCGCAAATACTGAACAGATCACAAAGATAATGTAGCAGAAAGAAAGAGTATAAAAACCTATCCGAACGACACATAAGTCGCCTGTCCAGTATTCTGTAGTATGCTAGATCAGTACAACCGGCAAAGCTTTGGGGCAATTATCAATTTTTGCATAATAGCTGAAATATTTTCAAAAAATCAACAAAGAAATAGACAGTTTCTGCTATTGCTCTGACATTCAACTCTTATTTCAATCTTTTGCAACAATTTTCATGTAATAAAAGCGAAATGCAATGATATAGAAGAAGCTGGTCCTTTGTTTGATTACTGTCATACACCTCTATCGCCGACCTTCTCTGTTTTACAATTTTAGTTTTATAGTCACACTAGCTTGCTTACCCGGCTCCGCCCGGTTCATTGAAAACTATGATAAAGGTTCCATCCTTATCCGTGCAGAATCCTTCCCTGTGCCACTTCTCCATGTAAATTCCTTATCCTCGTTTTCTCAGCATGCTCACCTACCCCCTGTGCCAACTCCCAGCCCTTTAGGTTAACTTTGCAAAATAATCGATAAAATCGATAAAAGTAACGGATGAATCCAAAAACTAATACTGTATTCGTAATCAGCATGCTCACTTACCCCCCCCCCCCTGTACCAACTCCCAGCCCCGTAGGTAAACTCTGCAAAAAAATCGATAAAATCGATAAAATCGACATCGATCGATGACGAAAAGTAGCCTATGACACCCGCCGGGGCCCGAAGTGTATGTGTGCCAAGTTTGGACTAGATCGGTTCAGAAATGGAATTTTCTATTCGGAACATACGTACAGACAGACATACATACATACATACAAACAGACATTCAGCTTTGTGTATAAGATACTCATACGAAAATCAAAAGACAAAACAATTTTACTGGAATTTTGTTTACTGAAAGCGATATTCACTTACGCTGTTAACTGCAGCTCAGGTTCAAATATTTCACGATGGAGCATACAAGACAGGCAGGACGAACTTGCAAAAAACACACATTTAAGCAAACGCTATTGCAAAAATCGCTAGTTCGTGGCTAAATCTAACGAATGCTCCATTCAATCATGGATGTGCATTTCGGTTACTTCAAATTTCTCTATGGAGAAAGTGTACTCCAAAGATATTTTGAATACGTAAGTTCACTGCTGATGTGCTCCATATTGTTATGGTTGCATGTGTGTGTTTCCTAAAAGTCAGACGTGGAAATTGTCTCTACCTGCTAACGTGGAAATTGTCGATCTACTTAGGAAATGATGCCTGTAGTTATGATAGGCATCATTATCTAGTCGACGATTTGCATGAATGTTTTAAAGACATGTAAAGCACAGTGTTCGATGCAGGGTTACTGCACGAAATCATTTTGAGAGACATCCCAGTTCATCACGAAGCTCGATCTTGTTTCACGCAATGCTGTGAACTACTCCACACGTTCGAACTCCATAATCTTAATTAGATATAAAAGTGGAAAGGATAGCCATCGCAAATGCTTTGTCGTATTATCACTTTTTCGCATAACCTCTTTATTTCGTTCATTCAGGTATGAGTGCACAGAGTTAAAGCTGTTTTTGTGATTGCAAAAATTATCTAGAAACCACCCCTGTTCAGACTGTTCATTCATTCATGGTAAACTCCACTTTACTACTTTAGTACAAAAAGCACACGATATTTATGACACCATTCGAAGCGTGTTTTCCGCATCCCAGATCCACGTCGGTATTATTGTCCACCTAAAGCACAAAGTATTAGTAATAGGCTTGCAAAATGTATGTAGACACGCCATAAGAAGGACATGAATACTGGCTAAAAACTATTCCCAGTGTCACCGTAATCCGGCAATCATGTTCCTGCTAATTTTACTTTGCAGCAAAATACCCTGGGCTAACTTGAGCATCCAAAAGCACCTTATAAATAACGTCATAGAATGATTTATCTCATCATTGTACATGCTGTTCTGGTAATTTGTTCTGGCTTCAAAGCTAGCGTTTGATCCTGGTGATAGGACATGCAACAGTAAATACGGTACTAGGTTTGGTAGCTTGTCCTATTCACTTATGACGAATCGGAGTATAGATGTAGTTCAAAAAATAATCGTTTGAATTGTTAATCAAATCTCCACGTCGTTTGTACGTAGTTCGCAAAGAAGATTTGAAAATGTGCATCATCGTTTGAGTAAACCCACGACATATGTTTGAACATGCAGTTATCAAACTTTTCATTGTAACCTCAGAATGCTCTCCTAGGTTGGAGCGCTGGTACGCAAATTTGTTTTGCGCTTACCTCACATCTTGAGAAGCAGAAAAAGCCGATTTTTCGACTGAGGAGCGGACCAAGTGGTTTTCAAATTGCTATGAAACGAAAAGAAAACATTATGAAACTGTTTCTTCTCCGTATGTAATCTTTTACAGTGTAGATACATTTCATGGAGAAAAGTATGAAAACTTATGTGAGCAAAGTGTCGATGCCAGCTCAGCTGGCACCCAGCTGGCACGGTGCCAGCTAATTCAGAAAAAAGTTGGGCACAGCTTTCATTCACATAAGTTTTCATAAATTTTTGGCCCGCAGTTCCGGTCCACCAACGCTCATGCATACACCAAATTTGGTGTCATACTATTGCGTTTTGGCTGAAAACAACGCCTTTTGTTGATGGACAGCTTGCCAACGGGATGCCGGTGGCATGCCGGCGGCATTTTTGCGGCAGTTCTCCGCCTCGGCTCCTGTAGAAACGATATCCCGTTTGCTTTCCGCCCTAAAAACGATATCCAGCTTGACCCGGTGCCAGCTGTGCTGAGCCCTGACGCAGTGGCTCATCGACATGCTCACTTACGCGTTTCTCTACTAATTACTTTTATTAATGAAGAAGCTATCTATTTTCCAGCTTCACATGGATTCACGCTGAGGGGTTGAAGTGGATTTAAACGTCATGAAAAGTGAGAGTTCTTCTTTCCATCACTCCCGAATTCCTCTTGTTTGATAAACCGCTAGTTAAAAAAACGATTGCATATGTATGTATAATACTCTCACCTGCTTAAGTATTTCTAGGTTTGTGCTCAATGTGACTAACTCATTGACGGCGTCCATCGGTAATTGAGATGCTCTGAAGTGTGTGACATATAATAGTGAAAATTGTTATAGACAAGGTTCTTACTTCGCTGGGCTATATCCAAGTAGCGAAATTTCTTTGTAGTCCTCATTATGATCATAGTCCCGGTCTGCAGCTATGGAATTCGCATTTTCCTCCATGTTGCAATTATAACATAAGGCCTTGACAGAAGGCTGAATAATGCATAATGTCATCAAACTAGTCAATTCAAAAGGGATATCCTACATAACTTATGAGGGAAGGATACCGATATCATCTGGCAAACCAAAAATAGATGTATATCAATGGACGCATTTTCAAGCGCTGATTTCAGATATGCTTTTCATTCCCGCGAAATAACTCTGCGAAAGAAATTATGAGCGTTTGGAAGTTTAAAATTCTCAACTCTTAAGTGGCATAAAATCAGCGAAAATCTGTGCAAAAACACGTGAGAGAGAGTTTTTAATTTTGTATCAAGTATGCTGACTATAAGGATGGAGCTCACTCAGTCACTGAAAGCCCGCATAGCTGTAGTTTTAAAGCTTTTAGCTTATTTCAAATCACTTGAAACATAACAAATTTAGAAATTCAAACGTTCATAACTTCTTTCGGAGAACGGTTGCGCAGGAAAGGAAAGCGGATCTGGAATCAGCGTTTGAAGACGCTCTACTTTTACATCCACTTGGTTTGCCGGACTATGTTGTATCCCTGTTAGATGAAGGATATTGGTGTTGTGAGATCTGACCTGTATGGCGCTTTTCAGCACAGCTGCTACACTTTCTCACCAGCAAGTACTTTTAAAATTGAACCAACCAACTTTGATTCCACAGCCTTTACAATCGCTTCCCTCCATCCAGGGTCCAAGTCAGTGCTGCACACGACCACCTTTTCACAACCTTCCGCGCAGGAAAGAGCGATACACGACAGCAACTATGATGCAGGTATATCTAGGCAAGAAATGGAATCCGACTTGCAACTCACCAAAACACCGCTCCGCTGAAGCATTTCTGCGTAAAATGCCCGAGAAACATGCTTTTATACTAGAGTAAATGCCAGAAATGCTTTAACGGAATTCTTCTCTTAATTTGGAAAATCAGTAGGTCATAGCAATTTCTCCAAGTGCAAACACATTTAGCTTCAATTCTATTTGTGTGATTGTATTTATGGCACTTCCATAGCAGAGTTCATCTTCAGCATTTGATCAGTTCATAAAGTGAGGATTGTGCAAAGTTAAAGGGCACATTGTATTCATGCACTTATGCAAGGAAAGAGTGTAGGTGAAGTTCCTGCACACAAATAGCGATTACTGCAAGTATTGATAGTTCTTGCAGTTGCTAGAGCGTGTTTTGAGAGAAATGTGTATGAGGAAGTGAGATTTTTGAACCTGTTGCAGGCGCTGAACATGCACAGATGAGGAGCGGAGTGATATGGAGGTCTTTGACAATCGTGTGTTAAACAGATCCGCAGCGCCTCTGATTTTCTAATTAAATTTTTTGTTTGTGAAGATGCAGCTTTCTCTGGCTTTGAAATTGCTTTTCTTGTGCGTCGCGAATCCAAATTTAGATTATCAGCCATTAATCTTTGGTTAATAAGATTCGAGAAGATTCTGATTACCTGTCTGGTAAGCATTGGTGAACAATCTTTTCTTAATAGTAAATCTATAATTTCGAAACCGATTTTGCAGCGCAGCAATTGAAGTAAGTAGCTGTAAGCTTGGCACTAGTCATGTCACATTGATTTCTAGAAAAGCTTTTGTGGCAGATATATTTGGTTACGAAAGTTTTGCTGTGCGCCTTCCACATGAAAAAGTTGTTCCAAGAGTAGATAAGTTTCAACTTATTGAGTTGATCGACTAAACGTCCAATGAGGCCTGATGAAGACTGATAACCACACAAATGTAGAGAATTCATAGTCTGTTCCTGAAAAACCATGAATTCTCTTCAAACCAAAGAGTGCAGTACTTTATAGTAGTTTATGTAGATGCCGCAAATATGCTCTATAAGTGTTTCAGATTATTCGTAGATTCCTATGGTCAGTGTGGAAAGTTTAGGCGCAAACGCAACGTCACAATAGTCAACAGCGTTTACGCAAGGACCGCACTCGAATCGAAAACAAACTCGCACTCTGCCTCCCGTTTATTTCAGATAAAGTCAGCTTTGCCTTCCAACGATGCATTTCGCGGGCACCGCTACTAGACAATGTTTTTTGGTTAACACACCGAACGACAATCTCAAAAAACAGCTTGTCCGTAATCGCCTTTACGATCAACAATGTATAACGGAAAATTGCATTGTGTGTCCATACAGCAGAAAAGGTGACTGCGCCAGGGTGGGAGTAGTATACCAACTCGATTGCCTCGAATGCAAAGCAAAATATATTGGCGAAACTGGTAGAGTTTAAGCATACGCTTAAAAGAACATCTGGCAGGCAAGAGACGGAAGAGTTTAGTAACCCCATTGGGCAAACATAGGAGTGACGCGCATGACGGAAATGATTTTGCAGTCAAATGCAAAATTTTGGCGTTTGAAACAGATATTACGGCTAGGAAGATTCTAGAGGCTTTCTGGATATCCGCAAAGACTCCAGAACTGAATAATAAGAATGAGTGCCTGTCTACAGCCGCCGAGTTTTTGCCGTATATGCCACTGTGTGAGTTGTATATAGTGGTTAGCGTCTTGATGCGCATTCTACTGTATCACTCACTTGTCCGTCAACTCTTGTCACATCCAGTCGTGCGGACATTTCGAATAGCGGTGGTGCGAAGGTGAGTATATCTGTCTTGAGAGTTTTTGCGACGAGAGGTCGGAATGAAGTCGAAACTGGCTGAGTTAGAAGAGACATCTGGTGGTCTGGTATCACGGATGATACCTTGAGTCGTTTTCAGGCCTCACGCACTAACGGTCATTTAGAAGCTTCGCATTCACTCGCTTACAGATTTCAGAAAACGAGTCGCTATTCAGCCACTTTTGCAACTAAAACATCTTTAATTTCGTTGATTTATGTGTAGCCTATCACCAGATTGCGCGGTATACTAATGATATCGTGTTCTTCTATCAACGATTGAATCAGAAAGTTGGTGCCTATAATGTAACATTCTATGCTGAGGACATTCCTCATCTGAGCAATTACGAGAAAGCCTTTATAAGAAAACTTCTGTGGAAATCAATGCTCGAAGCTGTTGGAAGTAAAGCTGAAGGGGATTTAAGAGATAGATTCGATACCACTAAGGTCCCAACCAAGATAGAGCCACAATTCTACATTCTTTTAGAATGGAATACAAGGGCTGGTGAGTTCTGGAAAAATCATGCGTTTTGAATTTTACTCACCATAACACTAAATAAATTCGAATTCGATAACACGCATTGGCTGCGAGCGGTCGTGTTCTCATTACTCTCTACAATGGTGTCACAGCGTCGTAGTGCTCCATCGAAGAAAGCTAAGGAAACTGATGCTGGTACTATCATGGATTCTGCTGCCTCATCTTCTGGTATTCTTAGTCAGTCGGTGCCGCAGGACGAGGATGAAGGTAAGTTGATATCTCAACTTCATTCTATCTTAGCAGGCAAGCCTCCGGAGGCCTTGCCACTGCTGGATCGAATGATCCAATTGATTAAGCCAGCTCCCGGTGATCTCATAAAGCAAGACAAAAGGTCTCGGTCTATTGTAATTTCAGGAGTGCCGGAAATGAATGAGCTCTCGCGTCTCAACGTCAGGCATATACTGAAAGTTCAGGGATGTCCATTTCAGATAAAATGGACATTGAATTTAGATCTCTAGAAATCTATAGCTCAGATAATAGCCGGGGCAGGCGGTCCGCAAACTCGCACTTTTCTGCAGGCGATTAGCAGAATTTTGGGGCGTGGCCAAACCTTCAGCAGGCGGTACTTCCTTTACTGTCGCATGTTCTGCCGGCGGGAAGCAATACAGAGTTTTCTGCGGGCGCTCGTCAAGTAATTCCTTTCAGCAAGAGCCGGCCAAATTTTCAGCGGGCGCTCGGACTCTTTTTATGCAGTTTTGGGCGTACGTCGAGCAAAGATAAGACTCTATATGGCAGACGTGTCATCGATGGTTTAGTTACGCGAGTTTGGGGTACTTCCTCTCGACGGAAAGTACCTGTGAGCTGTGCGGTTTCTCACAAAGGAGCGTGCGGCCCTCAGTAAATTTGCTATTCTCGCAGGAAATCCGCGAGAATGCGGCCACTGCGCCGCAACTCATCCATAGAAAGAGTAGTTCTTCAAGCGTTCATTTAAAAATTGGCCGGAATTGCTCCAAATTTCTGCAAGCGGACCGCAAGAAATCAGCGACTTTTTCCCGGTGCCTGCTTGCTTAAAATTCGCATGGCCGCCTGCCCCCGGCGATTGTCTGAGAGGATGGGGAGACCGGGGGGGGGGGGCAGCAGACCGCACCTGATCAAGTGTGTCTTTCCTTCGCAGCGGTTTTACTACAGCGTCCTCAAAAAAGCATCACTGCTGCGCAGCTTGCACTGTTGTGATCAGATTTACATCCGCAGGTTTATGACTTGAGAGGAAAGAGATCACGACCGGACCTTTCAGCAAGCGCAGGAGCTGAATTGCAAAAAGCACGATGGAAGCAAGGTCTTCGTAGTCTATAGAAAGATGTGAAAGCCTCACACATTCCCAGCATCAAAGCAAGCCTGCAAAAAACTGATTACGTGCTCAAACTCTTCCTCGGTTACTTGTCTTTTACTGAATGCTAGAACTCTAATGAGCAAACTTGTTGATTTCCATCATCTACTCCATACTCAGAAGCCGGCTATTGTCTTTGTGACGGAATCATGGTTTAGTAGTTTTATTACTGATGCAGAGATTTTGAGCGATCTTCCGTACAACATTTTGCGTAATGATCGTAAAAAAGGAGGGGGAGTATGTGTATAGGCCCGATATGATCAGGTTTTCCGTAGTATCGAAAGTATCGAACAGAGGCACTCTGCCAGTGAACTTGGTTGCTTTTGACCTTATCTTTGGTGCCGCTGACTTTACCAGATTTGTACTGCTCTACCGGCTACCCAGACAAACGTCTGTCCTTGATGAACAACTTACTGGCATTGAAAATTTAGCCACGTCCACTCGATACCATTTCTTCCTGGCGATTTGAATCTGAATGATGTTGACTAGATGGAAATGAAAGCAATCTCATCCTT